CAGACGAAGAAGAGTGGACATGCCCCTGCCATCAGTGGGAGAAATTTAAAAGGTTCCGCCAAGAACGAGTTAGTGAAGATTGTGTGGACGCTGCCAAGCAGGCAGACCATTCAGAATACAGCAGCTGATATTAAAAGAAAAAAGACCCTAAATCAAAGTAAAGGTAGAGCATTTCTGTGTGACTTGACACAACCTGCAGTTCAAATACACGTGCCACATTTTTACTCTTAAAAAAGAAAAGAAAAAACACCTGAAAATTGTATTTCTGCAAGGCCATGATGATACCTAAAAAGAAAGTAATTTCTTTTTATTTAAAGCCCTTTTAAAAAATATATATATAATTTATTTTTTGTATAAGCAGTCCGTGGTAAGGGATAACATTTTTGCGGGGTTGTGCGCCTGAGGGCAGTGATATAATGAAAATTAAGAAGCGACTGTAAGAGTGCCGTCACAGTTTCGTAGAAACACGGCCCATCGCAGTCACTTTGAAAATGTCCTCATTTATTTAAAACAATATTACTAAATATTGAAACAGAGTTAATTATCGTAAACGAAATGTTTCTATATTGAGCAGCTGTGCACACCTTATTTTTAAGCCGTTTTTGCTAATAGCTTTACACTTCTCAAACTGTGCGCCAAGCGCAATAACGAGGTATTTTATTGCTTTAGAATAATCTTCTGCTGCAATTAGTTTGTCATATATTGTCATTACAAGTCTATTAAAACATCAAGTCATTATTTGGGCATCCCCGGGCTGGGGAATTAGAATAAAACTATCTTTGCCACACGGGTCCCATTTAGATTAATGGAAAAATATGTAAAACATTTCGTTTTAATTTTCTTCTGACAGTGTTTTGCATACATGCATTTTCTCCGCCTGCGCTGTCCCTCATTATTTATGAAAGCAATCTCGACCAACACATTACCGGGCTATGAAATACTGCTTGCAGCCTAATTGATTCCCGTCACAATTTTGTGAGGTTATAATCGTGTTAATTGTAATTTAATCTCTCTGGGAATACCGGAGAGATGTATTTAAATACAACAGTCGAGCGAGCTGGGAAGATTTTATCAGTTCCACACATAATAGAAATGTCATGTAGAATTACACAGGCAGACAGGGATGCATTCCTCTAATCTACAGAGATGTCACCTACATCGTTCACTTTGCCTGCCCCCCATTTCCAAATGTTACGGAATTGGAAAGTCGTCTAAGTAAGTGCAAAGATACCATTTGTTTCACCTTTCAGTAGACGAGGAGGGGAGGGGCGGGGGGGGGGGGGGGGGGGGGGGGGGATTAAAAAATACCCAATAATAACAAGATCATTGGGCGGAAGGTAAGCATGATATTATATGTGGCTCATTAACCTTCAGAGGGTGTTGTGCTCTTTTTTTTTTTTCAAAACATAAAGTGACCAAATCATTTCCTGATCAGCCACAGACGAGCTGCCCTTTTTGCTTTGTCTCTGCATGATGCCATGTGCTGCTTCCTCTGCTCTGAAATCTGCCTTCCTGTCTGTGGGGACACCTGTTGGCACAGAGCAACTTGGAAAAGCCAGCTTGTCTCATCAGACTGGTCGCTCTGTCATTGCTGGACTCTCATTCTACTGCGCTCTAAACAGTTATTTTATTAATGGCGGCAATGCTACAAAAAAACTAACTAAAACTTGACTAATCAAAATAATCAATGTATGTATTTAAAGTATACTAAATATTTCATCCATCTGCATACTTTCACATTAAAAGCAAAGTGTGTTTGCTGAATACATAAGATAAAGTATACAGATGGAGGGAATATTTAAGACTCAGCATTATATAAAGTGGGGACTGACGCTGTCTAGGCAGTCAATCATTTTATTCATTTGCTTTATCTTTATTTCTGCAACTTTTTAAAATATTCTCACTCAGATCAAAAATGCATCAATAACAAAACACCTAAAAGTTTAAAAAGTTAAAGTAAAGTACTTCAAAGTTTGATGAAAGTCTCCACTGAGTGATTTTGAAACAAAGTTACACCATAATCAAAGCTCATAATGCAACCCAGAGGTAAAAGAACTCATCTCTTTTAATTACTATAGTTTTTGTCACAAGGATGAGCATAAAGACGCCCGAGATCTGTTCTGAATGACCTACAAAGCCTCGCAAAATAACTCTACCTAAGTAATATTTTGGGGAGGAGGTTTATTTAGTGGAAGTCAAACAGCAGCAGTGTTTTCACCAAATTCAGGGTATAATTTGGTTGACAACACACACAACAACAACAACACACACACACACATACACACACACACACACAACACACACACACACACACACACACACACACACCACACACACACACACACACACACAAGCTGAAGGGGTGGGGAAAAAATTATGTGGCCAAATGCCAAAGAGACAGCTTACTGTTAGGGTCTTTGGCTGGACCCAGGAGTGGCTTCGATCTTTTTGTCTGGGCCTGGCCTGGCACAGACACCAACCCTGCCCCAGACACAATAGATCATACAGTAAGAGATAGAGATAGAGAAAGAGAGATGGAGAGAGAGAGGGAGAGACAGAAAGTGGATGAGGTGGGGTAGAGGAGGTATGGCGCCTTTCATTACCATGGTCACCAATGGCACTATTAACCATTCAACACCCCCCCAATTATCCTCCTATCCACAGTCAGAGAGAGACAAAGCCCCAGTCCTGGTCTGCTGGAGCAACATGGCCACTAATCTGTCTCATTCTAACATCACACCCACTTCACTGTCTGTGCAAGTCAGACACGGACAAGCACTTCACAAAGCCCCTTTATGCTTCTGTTTGTGATGAGACAAACTTCTCTGCCTCGCTCGCTAACGAGTTCATCTTTATGTTTCGCTGTTTATAAGATTAAAGTTCCTTAGATGCCAATTTAATATCGGATCACCTTAATCTCAAGATAAATGATTCATATAAAGACTACTGCTACCAGCTTGTGTACTTTTTTCGTCGAAGTTAATGGTGAGCCTGACGCCACACGCCTTCTCCATCAACACACAATCAACCACAGGCTCACAGCTGTCACAGAGAGAGCTGCATGCCATTACTAAGGAGAATGATACAAAAAAAAAAGCTAAATTGTGAGTTTATTTGCTTCCATCTGTGTTTTCTTTTCTTTTTTTAAAAAGCAAGCAGGACTTTGATGTTTGTGAGTCAGACCCTGCACAGGGGGCTGAGGCCTGACTTGAAGTCTGGGGCCCAATGAATAGATCCACAACAGTGGCTTGTTGTGTTTGTTTACCCTTTTGCCCAGCTGCCTGGACCGTGGAGATGGGAGAGCATTTATCATGACCTAGGAAGAGCACAGACACACACACACACACACACACACACACACACACACACACACACACACACACACACACACACACACACACACACACAAACACACACACCAACACCACACACACACACACACACACACACACACACACACACACACACACACACACACACACACACACACTGCAGAGCATGCCAAGAAAGCTGCAAGGGCAATAGTCCTTGTAAGTGAGTTTTAAGAGGCAAATACTGTCGACACATGATAGTTGCAGAGTTGGTATTGCTGAAAACAATGTGAATTGGACCTCAGCAGCAAAATTAACAACAGTTTTTTTTTTAAAAGGGAAAAAAGCTACATAAATCAACCTCAATAAAACCAAAAATCACAAATGAAATCCACAGTTTCCACACTGCATTTTTGTGAAGCAATGAGACGATGGCTGAAAAGTTTTTGAAATGTCACTTTAGCCACGAGACCAGCAGCCTTTCCAGTTTCCTTTGACCTCCACGTCCCAGTTTAGTCGTGTGGTTCCTGCCATTTCTTCTCACCAGTTGTGTTATTTCCTTGGCACCGCGGCAGAGAGTGTTATTATGTTCTGAGCCTGCTTCAGCGAGGGCATGTCTATCATGCTGCCGAGGAAGGTGAACGCACCCTGAACAGGTTTGCAACACAAGGGAGAACACAGAGAGAAACATGAGATCAGACGTGCCCAATAAAACACATTTGATCCTGATTTGCATGACGAATGCTCGGAATGTCTCGCGTACAATATAACCCTCGAGTGTTATTTAAACTGACATTTAGCAGCAGACATATTAGTCAAAACAAAAAATCTGCAGAAAAAAAAAAACCTTTAGTCAAAATTGTTGTCAGTGGCTGGAGGTAAAGATTATGAAAGGCAAGCACCTGTCACATTGTAAGACAAAGGGAGAAATCCTGCTCACCATTCAAACCATTACGTACACACTCCCCTCTCACACACAGAAAGACACGTACACATGCATACACAGCAGAGGGATGGGTAAGATATGAATCCCTCGGGCGATGCTTAGTAGGAGCAGCCCTGGCAGTGAGAGAGGTGTAGGCAGATTGTGTATTACCTCAGCAGATAGACCACAGAGCTCAGCACACAGGATCCAACCATGCACTAAATTAGGAACAATAATATTGTACACTTAATTGGCCCAGCTCCCCCCACCCCTCCACCCTCCTATGTTGTCTCTGAGAGTCACCCAGGGGTGTACAGTACGTATTCTCTGGAACTACAGAGGTGTGTATCACAAAAATTGTGTATCACAAAAGATCGGTCTGAGTGATAGAGCAGAGAAAGACCCCGGACCTGTCAACAGACAGTCGACACAGATATTTTACTGTCCTGGACACGACCATTTAAGGGGGAGGGATCACTTGAAATACTCTTACATCATTTATAAAAAAGGTTTTCAGTCAGTGCATCTTCTGAATGATTCACAAAAAAATATTACTGTATAAAAGAATAAAAATGGAATTCAATTGTCGCTGCAGCTTGAATACAGTTGCTAAAAAAATCGATTAAGAGCGAATACTAACAAACTGATAACCAAGAAGAATATACAGAGTCACATTTTGGGTTAAAAAAAAATTTACATTTAAGGCAAATGACACACCCATCTATGGAGCTGATGAATTATAACAAATTAATAAAATCACCTTCACACTTACATTTTATCAGCTACGAGAAAAAATGTTAAGACATTTTAGACCAAAACACTGCCATCAGAGAGAAACTCCACTGACTTTTCAAAGTCTGAAAAAAAATGCAGTTTTACTTTTCTCAAAGGATGTTAACATTACCTTTCCCTCCTTCTGATGTTGGTCAAAAGCAGCAATGAGCTCTTTGGCCCACTGGACCCTCTCCTTGCTGGGGGAGAACTCTTCTTGCACAGCTTGGACCTGCCCTGGGTGGATAACCTGCTTACCTACGGAGAAACACACACACAAAAAGAAAATTAACTGTGCTAATTATAACAGCGGGGTTTCAGTGCCTTCAAATGAAACCAAAAAAAAAGAAGAAGAAGAATGTGTTCTAAAAACAATGCTTTTACTTGTTGATATAGAAGTAATACAATTCATGCACGACTAAAACTAGATAAAATGCTTATTTTCATGTGAACTGCTGCACAAAGATGATAGAAAAAGAAAAGCAGGCTGAGAATTAGGAAGGACTGAGGCCGAGAGGCAATGAGAGAGGAGAAGCAAGAGAGGATTGTATAAGTTTCAGAATGATGATAGTCAGGAAGCTGAACGGGGCCAGATGATGCTATGCATTATGACAGATAAAACGTGTCTCCGCTCTGCTTGCAGCCCTGCTGTTAAGCAGAAATGTCACTAAATGCTTAGTAAGACTTCATTATGTGACAGAAGTCATCTAAAAAAAACACACTTACTGATGAAAGAACAGTTTGTGAAAGAACAGTTTGTGGGCATACACAGGTAAGTACATCACTGGAAATTGACAAGGAAAAACAAGGCTAAATAAGACAGTGCAATGTATATGAAGTGTTAATTTTAGAACCACAGTGAAACAGTTAATAATCCAATGTCTGAATTGACACGTATCATTTTTCTATATTTAATTTTAGGATGCCATATGACCAGCAACCCTGGCTTCACAATGACACTGATCTTAAACAGAATCCCAACATGGATTTTCTGGCTCCATCTGCCACAATCCCCCCACCTTCCCGCTCCCACTTCCTCTCAGTTAAATGTGGGTGAACGCCACAGACATAATCCCATGTACATTTGCAGATCAAACTTGTAGTGATAAGTTAAGGTTATGAAACGTCTGGGTGAGAACGGCGGCTCTGAGGCAGCCAGCAGGAACTCGACACTTTAGGGCTTAGCACTGTCGCCAACAACAAATCCTTCAAGGTGGCTGAGCGGGCGGGCGTGCTGCACGGGCTAAGAAAAAAAAAAAAAAAAAGGAAAAGTGTCTCTCTCTCTTTCTCTGTCTCAGGCAGCAGCAAGGAGGGGGGAATTCGCCCCAGGAGAGAGGAGGAAAGGCAAGGAGGGGAGACGAGGCGAGAGAGAGAAACCCTCTCTTCATCCTGCTCCACTCACCCTGGTTAACCCTAGACAAACCCGCAGCGCTCGCACAATCAACACGCCATCGTTAAACGCTCGAACAATTACTTATGAGCCCACATAATTCATAAACGGCCATTTGTAATAAATAGACACCTTTTAGGAAAGTGTGCATATGACAAAATATGTTCAAAAACCCATTCTGTGTGTTTGTGTGTGTGTGTATTTGCGAACTGCCAGTGACTGCTGATGGGGGTTCAGTGTGTGAAGCAGAGATTGTGACAGCCCATTTTCTGTTGAACAAACAGCCCGAGGACTCCCCAGGCCACTCTGGAGTTGTGTATGAATGTGTACTTGTATGTCTGCAGGCTTGTGCATGTGTGCATGTGTTTGCGCATATGCCACTGCAGCAGTTAGTCTGATTCATTTCAACATAAAAAAAAGGTAGAAAGCAAATATTATGTGATAATTTTTCAGTGGAACATTGTGCCTGTATGTTTACCTTCTATCAGAAGTGAGGGAGGACGAGTGTGTGTGTGTGTACACCCTTCTCTGCCACCTGTTTTACTTCTGGGCAGAAGACGGGGGCATGTTTCCACACAGAAAACCACCAGGTTTATAATACGGAGAGGGTGTCTATTTGCGTCAGTGTGAGGGTGTGTGTGGTTGTTTAGGACAAGGGGAGAATGACAGAGCGAAGAAGCAGACAAGGGTGACTCAGGTGCCCTCAATGACAACCCATTGGTTCTCCTAAAATACATCAATCATGCCCTCCAGCCAATCCCGGCCTGCCATGTGGTGCTGGCATCTCATTGGAGGATTGCTATTTAGCAAAGTGCTCTCAAGCGAATGATGGGCAGGGTCCCAGGGATGGAAGTGAAATGTGGTCCCTAAGAGCAGAGAATTTGTGGAACAGTGCTGTTTCTGAGCAGCAAACATTTTCACAGGGATCACTGAGCCTTAACAGGAACCTGATTTATAGCGCATTAAAAATAAGTGCTAACAAAGTAAAGAGTGAACTGATAAAGAACTCAACGGATGATATTCCTCCCCAACATATATTTGCATAGGAGTTTGGCTTAATTTCTGCTAACCAGTAAACAGCAGCGAGTGTTTACGTTTGAACAGTGTGTTCCGTGCTCAGCACTAATGGGTGCTGTATGCGGCTTAGTTAGTGCCAAGGTCAATTACTGCACAGGTAGAAGCTTTTGGCTGCACCGCATTATTGCTTAAGCACACTCGGGCCAGTAATAGCTACTAACTAAGATTATACAGAGTGCCCATGGCTTGAAAGCCACTAATCCACTGCTTTAAACAGTTCTGCTCCATATCAAATCAAAAGCATTTATTTCTTCAAATGACCGTTTCTGTTAATTCGTTTTTAAAACGTTTGCTTCATGTAAACCACACTTCAGATTTCTTTTGATTCTCTGTTTGCTTGGAATCACGCCGAGTCCAACAACTAAACAAAAACAGTATATTACACGTCTAATAATGGTACTAATGTGAGGAACCCCTGTACTAAACATAATATACATTCTGAGTAAAATTGCAGCATAATTAAAACAAACAAACAAGAAAAATGTAAAATATAAATAAAAATAAAAGGCACTTGGCTATAGTGCAATATAGAGTAATTCTGAGATAAACACAATCAAAAGCATGCACACAAACATGCTGCACCAGAGAATAGAGGTGGCAAATGAGGTCACCTGGAAGGGTTTCTGTATGAGACAACCAAAACCAAAAAATCAAAAGCAACAAAAGAAGCTCAACTCCAGACTGATAACGTGCAAGGTAACGTGTGTGTCGAGTAGATGTTCAGAAGAGTGTACAAAGGGATTTACGCTTTTTGTGCCAGTGCTTATTTTTTCTCCATCTTTTCCCAGTGTGATTGGCGACTAATGTCCGATGCTGTTCTGCTAAAATGATCTGAAACTGGGGCAAAAAATAAAAAATAAAAAATCCTAGCCATTACAAATCCATGAAATTCAGTCATGTGTTGCCTTAGTTTATGTGGATCTACACCACACGGGGGGGGGGGAAGCTACATATATTTTGGATTTTAAAATCTAAAAAATGGTACAAAAATATCAAAGAATTATTTGCAGGATTGCAAGAACAGTGCCTGCAAAAACACACTGTGGGAACAGGTTGTCCTGCCTTCTGTGGTCTGTTGCAGGCAGTCTGCAGGGCTACACACACATACACACACAGACACACGCACACACAAAAAGCATGACCTGGCTATAGACACACTATCACACACTAATAACTCCTTTTAATTATACATACTCAAGTGCACACACACCCATTCATACAGGCACAAAAGAAATGTGAGATCTTCATTGCAGTGTGCAATACAAGTATATAAATAACAAATGAAAAGCCAAAGGATGCTCTGTCACCTCCCAGTGTTTCATGTAACATTTTAAAGCATTTATCAGCTGGTTCATTCCCCATTCTCATTTGGAGAAAAAAAACAAAACAAAAAAACCCCCACATGTAACAGAGGGCAGAGGGAGTGAAAGCTGAACTGCCTGTATGCCGCTTGCAACAGGAAGTAAGGGATGCCCGTTGCCATGCTATATTCAGGAAGATAAATTAAGAGCAACAGATGAGAACAATGTGAAGCAAATGCAGAGGTAAATCACAGTGACAGATGTGATGTCTCAAGTCATGACTTGAAGGAACAAGGGCAGATTTCAGATAAAGAAACAAGAAACTTTACCTGTGAAGCCCATGAGAGCGCCTTCTCTGGCCTGCTGCCTCAGCCCCTCCACATCTTTGTAGTCAATGTAGACCAGGTCAATAGCCTGTAGCCCAAAGGCTTTGGCAGTCACAACCACCCTCTGCCTTGCATAAAGGAGCTCTCTGGCATCCTTGGTCCGTGTGGCACCTTATGAAAAAAGTCCAAGGACACATGCACAGTTTGCCAGACAAGATCTCAAAGAGACGCTGTTGATCTGTAAGTAGGTGTAGGTTAGATGAAACTGTGATGGGCGATGAGCAGCAGGTATTACATAAAGTACACTGACACATCCTTTTATGTAATAAAAAAAAAATCAAGGTTTATTCTGTCATTTTTGATTCTTGCTGCCAAACAGTCGATTGGGATTATTAACCACTGGTCTCTGTGCTTCATTACCCATTAACTCTGTCCTTTAAAACAAACCTACTCATTGGGTTTAATGATAAGAAACAAAAACCAAAGAATAATCATTTAGACACAATGTCCTTTTTTACTCATGTGACCTGATTCAGTGAATTAGATCTTTGAGTTCCAGCACATTTACATTTATACATTTATCACTTAGGTATCCCACGTCTGTAAATCATCCCTTATTTCGACTGGAAAAAAATGTCTTCCCTTTTCCTGCAGTTCTGCAATTGTGTGTTCAAAATTGAGAACATGTGACATGCATTATATTTAAAGACTAGCAACTAAGCTTGTGCATTTTACACAAATTGATCTTCTCTGCCATGAATCCAGGAGGAGAATAAGAGAATTTGGGGTCAGCAGTGTCAGAATGTGAAATAGCTACCTATGCTTGCACAGAAGTCATCAGAGCCAAACACCACGCCATCATGGTGCAGACCAACCTTAGGACAAAGCGAGCGAATTTCCTCACACACCGCCTGGAAAGAACAAACACCAGCCCGATTGAGATGGGTTAAAGTAAAACAGACGAAAACAGGCTAAACTGTAACAAATGCTCCTAATTTTACACTCGTCACCACAAAACTATCCTAAGTACTCTTTCTGAAATCTTTAACATAAAGGTAATATAATAACACACATCATTTATCTCTCCCAATTACACTCCAAGCTTTCTTTCCTCAATGACTCATATTATTATACCAGCCCACTAAAGGTGCCACCTGCAGGTATGTAAACAGACACCTGGCTCGCGGCTCTTAAGGAAAAGTTGCATATCAAGCCTCCCTGCTATTTTACACAAGGTTTAATTTGTTAAGACTGAAGCAGTAAAGTTTTTAAAACCTGTAAGGTAATCTTAAATGTTTCCTGTTTTTTTTATTGAAATGATTAAATGTTTACATTTTTGCATATAACAGAACAGTAGTTTGTGTTAAGAAAACACGAATCACTAACACATCGTGGAGCTGCTTTATTTTACTAAAGGAAAACAAAAAGTTTTTCAAATTATATTTCATTGCTCTTCAAAAAAGATTTGAAAAAAAAAAATCAAACAACAACAACAACAAAAGCAAAGACTAATGGCTCCAATTATTACGGGGGAAAGTAAAACTTTAAAAAAGAAAGAAACCCTTTTGAATGCGATTGTCTGTGGCGAAGGCTGTGAAACAATATGAACATGTTTCCTGCTTTTGTTGGCCTCCAAATTAATTTCACCACTAGCTGTGCCACAGCGAGTTTTTTTTCATGCTTGTAACCCTGGGTTCAGTCTGGGCAAAAAAAAAAAAAATTACAGGGTGTTCTCAAGACAGCACACAGAGCCACCCCCTGCCACCAAAACACATATACTTCCAACCACAGTCCCAGAATTAGGCTGAAGAACTAAAAGACAAATCAGAAGAAGCAATGACAGCTGGTTTCTCCCCAAATGCCCCAAACCGTGCCCTCTTTTCTCGTGTAGCTGAAGGTCGTGATGTACTATTACCAAAAAAAAAAAAAAAATCACTTTGATGCTATCTGAAATATCATTAAGAACTTTTGCACTGTGACGATATTAAAATGGTTCTAATTAAAAAATGTCAGCGTGTCTGAAGAGGACAGTCAGAGAGAGGGACACGCGACGGAGAGGTAGAAAAAAAAGCCTCAAAAGGCTCGTTTTGAGGGGGACAGTCTGAAAGCTTTGAATCCCTTTTATTTTAGACATGTGGGGTTCTCTGCTCACTGATGCAGTCTTTAATCTAAAGTGAACAATGGACAAACAGAAAAATGTCTTACGCATGCAGTTTTTTTTCCTTTTTTTTTTGTGTGTGGAGGGGGGAGATGTTGTTTGTAATTTACCTTAAAATTGAGCAGGCCCACAGCGGTTTCCACAAAGGTGATGAGGCGAATGGGTTCTGTCAGTGCCCATCCTTTCAAGTGGTGCTGAAACCTGTCAACAAACTAAGCACACGGGGACCATTTCATGCTCGTGCACTCATTAACAAAACCCACTGTTTCTGTGAAGCGAATGCAATAAACTCATTTGCTCTCGCTACCCTGTACAAGATAATACACAGGATATTTGTGCTTATTTGGAGCATTCGATACATGTCTTAACACTTACCATAGGAATATTGAATTTCCATATGTATAATCATCTTAAACCCAGTTACAATTTCTTGGATAATTTGTGCATCTACTCTGCTGCAACCCTCAGTGGACTTTCAGCGCACTATTAGTTAAGCGAATGAGAAAACGCAACAGAAAGAGAAATCTGAGGCACAGAGCGATTGTGTGGTTGTGTGTGTGATTTTAAAAACTGGAAGGAAAAAAAATATTCAGCAGTAACAATCGTAAATGATTTGACACATCTTTCAAAAGTCACTGTGGGATAAGACAGAGAAGGTGGAGAGAAAAAAAAATCTTAATGTGCAAAAACTCACTTTTGATACAAATCTTGACACCTTTATTACTTGCACTGTTCCCATTTCGGTCCTTATTCAGAGGCACATCTATGAGGGTTCAAATAGCGCAGAGAGCAAGCACAGGAGAGCGGCAACAAAAGCAAGTGAAATGAAATATTTTACATTATCACCAGGGTTCCCCCCTTCGTCTGAAGTCTTCTGCTCTACCTTCTTTCAGAGGCTCTGCACAACTACAGAATGTGCTCCCCCGAGACTGTGTGCACACATGTAAATGTGCACACGCACGCCCCAGCACATGCGCACACACTCACACACAGCAAAACCAAAGAAGAAACAAAATACGGAAAAGGGGAGAAGAAACAAGATTTAGGATGTCTTTGAGTGTGTTTTACTGTGACATTATTCTGTTTTGCGTCCCTCCTCCATGGCAGGGAACAGGGAGACTGGAGCAACAATCAGAGTGTGATGTGACATTTTGGTGAGGCCTTTATCCTGCACGACTCCTGCTAATATGCAAGCTCACCTAAGTAGGCCTTTAAAACCAAGTTTAATTCTTTGAAGACCAAAGCATTCCAATTTTTTCCAACAGACCAGTTCACAGCTAGCCCTGGACTGCCAGTGGGGTAGCCCAAATTCCTAAATCTATCATCTGGAAACACACAAAAGCCCCCTCCGTCAGATATTTCCTTTCAAAGCCAGACAAAAAAAAAAGACAAAAAAGAAGAGAGTGCAAAAGCTCAGAGTAGAAATGTCTACCTCCATGTCCCCCCCCCACCCTCCCCCCATGCCGTTTTCTTCCTCTTTGACACACTGGGGGGAAAAAAAAAAGAAAGGACGGTTATAAATAACCTCAGGTACGGTGCTACTATTTTTCTAAACGAAGAGCAAAATAACCCCCACGCTCACACTCACCACTCTTGTTCTCAAAACTGAAAGAGTGGGCCTCCATTGAAGGATTTCAAAAAATAGGGGCAATTTTAATCATCTCTCCATTCAATCTCAGTTGGATAAATCATATCTGAGAGATTTGCATAAATACAAACCATCAAAGTCTTTTCATCTTCAAAGAGGTTTTCAAGACCCAATAGGCTTTGTACTGTAATCATCTGAGGTCACAACCCTGTGGGAGCAAGGTTGCTATGGCAACATAAAAACTAACGCTGGGGGCTTAGCATAATATCCCCCCCCCTCCTTCACAAACACAGGAAGGGGTGCGGGGGTCCGAGAGGGAGTGTGAAAAGAGGGTGTAGATAAACCTATTTCTGTGACAGAGGAAACTAGATAGATATGGCCTGTTGTGGGGAAACCTATCTGATATTACACACGGAGATTACCACCAAAACGCTGCGCCATGCAAACCCTAACAAGGCTGAGTGGACTGTTTGGTTTCCACCAAAGGGAAACAAATGACAGCTCCACGCAGTACCGCCGGCTGAAAAGCCTCCGAGGCTTTCTGATTACATGTTTATGTCCTTCTGCTGTATTCTCCTCCTCAGCTATTATACACTTTAAGGGTCTGATTTACACTGCATACAAGAGGTACTACAGTCCTTGTTCACTGGTACTCGGATGGGTGCAGCAACCATTAGCTATCAATGGCTCTTAAAACTAGGTCCTGTTTAAAATGTTATTCCGCCCAAAAAGGGAAAAAAGAAGTAACGTTAAAAGAAGAAATAACACCTCTTCTCTTCATTCAAAGCCTTGCTGCAAACAAGGCCTCTGATAATTTCGCCACCCAATCATGAAAAGAGAAGGAGGGGGAGATAGAGCTAGAGAAAGGAGGCTATAGTGGGACAAGTTTCAATTAATTTTCTTCAAAAGGGGGCCAGATTAAATGTTTCCGGCCAGCTGAAGTGTTCATTTCACAGAGGGGAAGCGGAGAAAGGGATGAGGGGAGGGGACAGGAGGAGGAGCAGAGGAGGAGGAGCGGGACAGGGTGCGATTCTTTTGGTCCCAGTGCACACCAAATAGTGTGGTGGGCAAAGAATGCACACGGCTCCGAAATCTTTGTGAGAATTGTATTCAAACAAAGGAGAGAGTTACGCCTGTTACAGCCCAATAAGGCCTGTCAGTCACACAAGGGCCGGAGGAGAGGAGAAAGACAGAGGAAAAGATTTCCACACAAAGAGAAACAAGCAAGTCCATCTTTTAGCGACAAATCAGTCTGGAGGTTCCTGAGCTAATATCAATAAAAAGGGAGGAAAATAAACAAGTGAGGGGATTTACTGCACTGCCTTACAAGAGTGGAGAAAATCAGACACTTGTTTACAACACAAGGAACATGAATGCGCACACAGACGCACAAAAAAAATACAAAGCGCTAGAGACTGAAAAAGTTGGGAGGGATGGGATAAAGATAAGACTCAGGTCCTCATCGAGTGCCACCAAGTTCACTTTGTCTAAGGGTACATATGCACCAACTGATGCAAAAATCATACTGGCAAATAAATCAAATGCTTAAAACAAGCAAGCTACCTACAGGCTTTTTCTCTCAGGGGGTACAGTAACAATATAAAGGGCTAACTTAAGTTTTTGCATTAATATTAAAAAAACCCACCACATAACATAAACACAGTTATCCACAACTTAAAGCTTTCTAAGTTGGCTGAGTCACAGCATAACAACACAAGTGGATTTTTTTAAAGTAAAAAAAAAAAAAAAGACTTTCTTAAGTGAATAAAAGCAGCCAAGGGAGAAAGGAGCTAGGGGAGAGAATTAGTGAACACCTGTCAGCAATTATACTTGCAAGAAAGAAAGGGCAGCAGGAAATAGACATGTTATAATTAAAGCCACTAGTTAAAAACTTCCTGCTCCTTCCCTCACACCAAGTATGAGCATAAATGTGTGCGTGCGTGCATGTATGTAATAACACAGAGGAAAAAAGAAAAAAAAAGAAGCAGACTAGACATACACCTTCACAACGTGTCGCACTTGTTTAATCAACTGTAACTGTTCTGAATACATGCAGCTTGATATAGTAGAGACCAAAAAAATGTTACTTTAAAAGCTATATCCCCCACTTTGCATTGCTTGCTTGGGGTACTCAATGCAAAGTGACAGCAAGAAAATCATTTAGACGTAGTTCGAGCACCGTGCCTTTTTTATGAAAATGAAGGCCAGCAAATGATGTCGATGCAAACAGTAATTAGACTGGGAATAAATCTTGCTTACCCTGGCATGTGACTGGAGCTGATCATACAGGTCTGCATTAATGATGTCAATGTCTGCTGACTTTTTGGGCTTGACTTCTCTACATCTGTTTTCCTGGTCTTGGCCATCTTGGTTTGTTTTCCTGGTATTGGCCCTACCTTTAATCTATAGAAAGCAGAGGTAGGGCCAATACCAGGAAAACATCTAACACTATTGCTTCATATTAGATTTATCAATTCAGTTTAGCGACCTTTTTCAGAGAATCAACCTTTTTAATATCTGGCTTCAGTTTTTGATAGCCTAACCACGACTGCACTGCCTTTTTTGGCAAGTTTGCACATGCGTAAACATTTGCAACATGCTATATTTAAAGGTGTATAAGAATAAGAGAAAGTAATGAATCTGAGGCATTCTGGTTTGGCTATCGGGTATTACATTTGATTAAATCAGTTCTTAGACACAACAGGACACTGTTCACAGCAGTCCTCCGTGAGTTCACCAGAGGCAGAAGGCACCATTGCGCTCTTACAGAAAGTTATCAGGCTTCTGAAGTTAAACCGAAGAAATGTCATCTGTTTCTTGAGCAGCAGCCAAGAAAAACACTCTGTCTGTCCCTGACAGGGATCGATTCCCTCTTTTACTTGGAAACGGGAAAGCTTGTTATGACTGCTTTGAAGATTCCCGAGGTTTCTTCTTACTTCATGAGTTTGTGCAAGATCACCAGTGCTTTTTAAAAGACTGTCAGAGTTCAAAGAAAGAAATGCAATGGGAACTTTAAGTGCAGCTGTTTTTTTGCTGTTGTTTTTTTATTTATTTATTTACTTTTTCATACATTTTTTATAGGCTCAGAAAAAAACTCAACTTGTGACTTTGAGCCTATTTTGATTTTGAAAAACAACAGTTATTTATACATGACGATGATGATTTTTCACTCACCCATTGCACTTCCTGTGTGTCCTCGACTTTGGGCAACATGATGGCACGAGGGAGAACCTTGGCCTTCAAAATTACCTCCAGGTCCGCCTCAGCCAAGCCACTAGACACCGAGTTCACTCTCACACACTTTTCTGTACGGCCCAGGTCCAATTCCGCTAACATCCTCGGAATAGTTTCTCTGGCTTCTGTCTGTGAAAGAAACCATGATTTGAATATGCAGCATATAGTTGTTTTAAAATAAAAAATGAAAGTGTGTGACATTGTTAGATTAAAAACTCTGCATGGTGAAAGCACGTACAGTTAGATTTCATCATTGCTATAGTAGTTATCTACTAAAACAAAATGCTCAAAATGAAACATTAAACGTGCATGAAAATACAAAACCAAAATAACATAACATACATCTGCACTCTTTTTTCCTCTGTAGTGCATCTATATCCAGTTTGTCAGAACAGAAGCTGCACACTCAGCTTTGTTCTCTCAACATAGGCATTGTAGGATCTGAGCAGGAAGAGAGATGATGAAAAATCAAAGAGAAGCCTACACTCCCTACTTCTATCGGTAACACAGTAGCACGCACTGCAATATTCAAACCAGATGCTGGCTACAGGAACGGAGAGAAAGATGGATGGAATGGGGAGAGAAGCCAGACTAGGGAGAGCAGAGAGGCTCAGTGGGAGAAATGTGGTCTGAGTTAAGCAGCATGAGGAAACGGTGGCTTAGGAGTTGTCAGCTCAGATCAGAAGCTGGAGCCTTTGAGTGCTTGTGTATAAATGTGTGTGTGTGTTTGGGAATTCTCATACTGGGATTTTTCTCCTGATTCAAAGACTACCACTAACAAAATGTTAAGAAATGTACACTCAACCTGCTGCCAATTGCTGGGTGAACCACAAAAATGTTCCGATAACTCGTGAAATAAATTTCAAGTAATTCAAATATTGCACCGAAAAATGCTGGCAAATGTGGCACGATGCCATGTGACGTAACTCCCTGGATCACGCAGAGCATATAGTAGTGCATCTAAACAGGGTGATAATCAGCAGACTGACAACTAAAATAAGTGTGCGCATAAAAGAGAACATATAGACAGACATAACATATTGAGCCCATATATCACAAACGCTTGTAAAAACTCAAGCGGACAAGAGTCAACCTTGGTTCAGTTGTATGAGTTTAGGGGGTACTCTCAAGGGTCACAAGGACTAAACCAGTCCTAGCTCTGATCTCCTGGAATGCAGAACTGTATGTGATATTATAAACACCCTCCCAGCATCAATAAAATGCGGTATCAGAGTACATATCAAAGATTTCCTTGGATTTAATAGGGTTCATGAACAGGCTGAGCTGCTGTGTGTCATCTTTGTCTCCTTTTTGCCTCACTGAAAGAGACAAGAGGGATTGTCACACCATATGATGAGGGCACTGTGATCTTTGACTCTTACTCAAATTTTGCTCTCTCCTCCTTTCTCCTTTCTCCCATAAGCCAACACAGACCCGCAACTCGATTGCAGTAACTTGAAACGGACGGAGGCGATTTACGCAACCATAACTCACTATTCATAAACCTGCTACTTGGTGGATAAAATTCTGTCTGTCCCTGCGTAGTTCATGGTGACTAGAGAAAACTGATCTGTGAGAACTGCTGGCTGTTTTATGTGCCAGGAGTCACATTGATCCCTGACCAAATTAAATAAATAGATACCCAGAAACGATCAAAAAGCGTGCTTATAACGTCCTCAGATCAGAGACGGGAACGCTCCCAATATCTTTCTCAAGGCTCAACCTGATATACTGGTGACCCGCGTGTATAAAATTCTTCTTATGCAAGCAGAAATCACTCATGAAAAGGACAGATGTCTTTTCTTCTCTTTTCCAAGGCCACGGCAGCAGAAGTGGTCAAGGAGACGGGCTGGGGTCTCATATAAAAAACTCTTACAATCAATTTTCATCTTAAGAATCCTTTAAGAATCCTTAAAGATGGAAAACATAGAACACTATGAGTTATTTTGCACCAAGAAAATTTTAATTTTGAAAAAGTGATTATTCTGCTGTTTACGTAGAGACACTCAGGCCTGTGGTTCTTCGGCAAGACATTGTCAGAGTCGTGGGAGGGCTGGAGGTGGCCAGCCTGATGCAGGCTAGCACAAAGAAATAGACAACCACTTGCACTGACATTCGCAACTATGGCCAATTTACCCACTAAGTGCATTTCTTTGGACCGTGGAAGGAAGCCAGAGTACACGGAAGGAGAGAACCACTCGAACACTGGGAGAACATGCGAACTCCACACTGAAGGCCACTGTGCTGCCTTTTACGAACATAACAATAAGATATGTTAGTGAAAGGTGACAGGAATTGTTTGTCACACCGAAGGCTTTCTTGTCCTTGAGTTATGGAAGGACAGTGAAAAGTTAGTTTGCAGATTTGACAGACTTTATTTGCACATAATTGCCTTGCCTTTCAAAATAGCATCTCTCTGTTTTTGTTATCCACTAAACATTATAAAATGGGAAGCTACAAGGCAGGTGCGGTCAGTTTAAGTTGTTTTGTGATCTGAAACAGAAAATGACATTCTCAGAGCCTGTCTAAGCACCTTTATTTAGTCCTCAGCATCTTTCATGAATCGATTGTAAGCAAGCGATCTAGACATCTGAACACATGATCTTAAGACTAAGTTCAAACATAGAACATTTTTATAAATGAGGCCCCAGGTCACTATTCACTATCCTTACTTTTATCTTCTTTTCCGCCTAAAGTGAGAGAGAGATTATTCTGCCAGACACCTTGACCCCTATGGGCTCCGCTACTCTGAGCTTGAATAAAGCTCTTTGAAAAGAAGATATTTTACATTAATGGACAGCCATCCAACAAGTTGCTTCAAAGCTCCCTCCCCAATCACCTGGTGTCCTATGGAGAGCTCGCCCCAACGTCAGCGCCATCCCCTCTTTGATTCCCTCCATCATCCTCATCATTAGAGGCTGACACACAGGCAGGCAAGCTTGCAAGCAGTCACCCAGGCAGGCAGGGCCGTCGAACGCATAGATGCACATGAGAAGCTTTTCAAGTGCAGAGAGGCTGACCTTCCAGGAGAGCGAGGGCAGCTTCTTAACACACAGCCTGAGCTCTGACACTCAGAATCCTACAGAGTGCTGTATATATGTGACACAGCATGGCTACCGCCTTGTAGACACCAAATCAGACTACAGCATCCAAACTGGTATATGTGCAGTCCACAGCAGGACCAACTTCCTCTTCAGCATCAGATCATGGACTTCCAGCCCTTCTGCCACGTTGCTTGAAACAGGGAACGTCAAACACCCCCTCTGGATAGTCTATACATGTATACGTGTACACACAGTCTGTCCCTTCATTCAGCTTGAATTGTTTTTTCAGTAGAGGCATGATTATGGTGGATATACAGAGGATATGTGACATTTTTTTAAAGGGTATAATTTGGGCTAGACTTATTTTTTTCTCATACAATATTGTTATAATATTGTTATAGTTATAGTAAATAGCAAAAACATTAAGATGTCATAAATTAGCATTATTTACAACATTAAAAAGTCAATGTCATTCTAAAAAAAATTACTCACATCTGTGCACCTGCATTCACAAGAACAGCTTATATGTTCATCCCACTTTTATCATTTCCATTGTGCCTTCAAACAGTAGAGTGCTGTATCTTTAGCCTGAAAGTGGATATAGGGTTTCATGTCTAAGGAGTGCAAGATCATGAGTCACAATGCGTGTAGTTGTTTTTCCTTTTTTTAATACCTTTTAAGATCGGGTGTTTTGCACCCTGCTGTGTAACTCGTGATGCCATTTACAATGAGCTGTAGACTCTCGCAGGTGAAGGCTGCCAGCCTCAAGTGTAACTGTCCACACTTGCTCATCTGTCTTTGTTAGTGTGTGCCAGATTGTGTGCGTGTGTGTGTTTTTGTAGGCTTCAAGTTATCGTGGATGCGTTTTGACAAGTGACATGCTGCACTCTATAAAGTGGAAGTGAGATGACTGACTAATTCAGGCTACGCAGATAACTGAGACGTAGCAGGAGGAGATTCAGGCCTTCACTCTGTCAGTCGGAGGCGCTCTGTGTTATCTGTTACACTGTCAGTGCAGACAACAAGACGTAACTAGCAGGAAAGAGGAGGAGAAATTTGTAAATCATGAAACCTGCCTGTCATTGATGGTCAAAGCTGACAGCATGAGGCAAAAAACAGCTAGTTATTACACACTTTAATTAGCCATGAAAGGAGCTCATTAAAAATCTTTGGTTACAGTTCATTACAAGCTGAAATCCATGATACCATATCAATCCATGAAAAAAAAAAATACAGTTTACATTTTTATTTTACATTCTGTAAAATAAGAAAAGATTCCACCAGTCTTCTCCAAACTAGTGCCAAACTATTGATCTTTTGGATACTGCAGGTTTTTTATCATTTCATATTTGTAGTTTTAAAAATCTTTATTTATTCCAGGATAGCTTTTGGGCCTCTAAAACCAAAGCAGAGTTCTCTGGTCTAATTGTTTACAATTTGATTTGATACCTCAAAACACATTTTTCTGAGTTTATGGCCAATACAATATATATATATGACTCCGTATTAGGGTTGTATTAGGGCCCCTATTACATGACTCTGTAACAGGGAGTTGTTTTGGGGGTTGAGGGTGGCTATACAATATATTTACTTTTGTCTTGGATTGATGCAACATTGTGACTATTCTCTGATCAATACCATAGGCCAAGCCAATGAGTTTAGTAAGTTTACACAAGACAAGCAGTAGGACAGAGACTTCTGAAAAGCGTGGGCAGCTCCTCAATAAGTCACAAATGTAGTTCCATTTCATACATCCCAGACGCATTTCGTCTGTATTTCCTGGAATGCTGTCATGTTGAGTTGGGAGACTGCCAAATTCATGGTGATCACAACAACTTCAGTGCTTGTTGCAACTACAGAAGAACCCAGCTCATTCAAAGACCTTCCTCCTAAACCAGCTTTTTTTCTGACAAAAACTCTCAGCAATGCTGGCAGTTCTTTGTGAGCTTTGGATCAATGTCTGTTGATTATAAGAAGTAACTCCACTATGTTGGCAGATACTAAGAACATCGAACAGTGCCATTTGACGAATAACCAAATAACAACATGTATAAACAAATAAAACCAAAACAAACCCACTATAGTTTGATTACTGCTCTATAATATCAGAATTGTGTGTATGTGTGTGTTTAGTTCTATTGGTATGTGTCCTTTCTATCTAAACAACATTGACTGGAGGTTAGTCCTGTGCAGAGTGTGGACCAAAGAATCATCTGCGGTACAGGAACAGAAATCTCATAGGTGACTAGGGATTGGTACTGGTATCCGGTGCCATTATTGCACAGGTCCTGACATAAATGGTAGTAACCAGACCGAATTTTAATTTGAGATGTCATACACTTTGGATTCTAGCCAATCATTTTACCTTTCCAAGGATAGTAGGTGGGCCCGGGTACGTACGTTCTTTTAGAGCAGAGCTACAGATTAAAAATGCCCAAGGCGAAGCGGTCAAAAGTCTTGCTGTACTTCACAGCAAAAGATGCAAACTCAGCCGCCTGCAACAAGTGCTTTAAGGTGATACTGTGCAAAGGAGATAAACACCTCGAATCTGATGAAGCACCTGGCCACGCATAGCGATTTTTTAAAAGCTGAGAAATGCACCGTATTTGATAGCTTGCTGCAAGACCTCACACCGAGCACATCTACTGCAGGTGTGGTGCCTGTTATCGGACCCGGAGTTAGCAACATCCCCCAAGAACCTGAAGAGGAGAGTCCCAACCCCTAGCCCTGCCAGTGTAGCAGAAATGATGACGGATGATGATGGCAGCAGCAGCCGTTCTTCTCTGGGTGAGTAGCTTAATGTTGTTTGTGT